TTTTTTTTTTTTTTGAGAGAAATTCTCACTGTTACCCTTGGTAGAGTACTATGACATCATAGCTCACAGCAACCTCAAACTCTTGGGCTCAAGCAGTCCTCTTGCCTCAGCCTCCCAAGTAGCTGGGACTACAGGCGCCCACCACAATGGTTGGCTATTTTTATTTTTTATTTTTTTATTTTTTGAGACAGAGTCTCACTGTGTCCGCCTTGGTAGAGTGCTATGATGTCATAGCTCACAGCAACCTCAAACTCTTGAACTTAAGCAATTCTCTTGCCTCAGCCTCCCAAGTAGCTGGGACTACAGGTGCCCACCACCTGGCTAGTTTTGTTGTTGTTGTAGTTGTCATTGTTGTTTAGCAGGCCTGGCCTGGATTTGAACTCACCACACCTGGTGTATGCGGCTGGCGCCCTAACCACTGAGCCACGGGCACCAAGACAATCGGCTAATTTTTAGAGATGGGGGTCTCGCTCTTGCTCAGACTGGTCTCCAACCCCTGAGCTCAGGCAGTCCTCCTGCCGTGGCTTCCTGGAGTGCTAGGATTATAGGAATGAGCCACTGCACCTGGCCTTTGTGTGTCTGACTTAGATGGCTTACTTGTGGCATTTAAAGAAACAGTTTTCCCTTGTAAACTGTCTGGCAATCTGTAGAGGGTGAGCATTGCCTCAATAAACATCCTGCCTCATTGCCTTTCCTCAGGTGGCTTTAGAGAGGTCCTTCAGAGAGCCTTACCTGGGGCAGTGATTTTAGGTAATTGCAGAAGGGCAGCTGTTTTCACATTCCACCCTTCTACCTAATAGCTATCTTCTGTAAAGCAGGTTCCTTATTAGCAGGCATTAGTTCCAGGTCCTCCTGGAAGGGCAGGGTGTGCTTAGTGGACCCTGGCTTCAGAGTAAGGAGGCAAGTGAGCCTCTCTCTCACTCTGTATCTCTCTCTCAGGGGTGGGAGTACATAGTATTATTGTGAACTCAAAATTTTTAATTTATTCAATCTTTTAAAATGAATTACAGTCTGTATTTTTTTAGTGTTTGAATTATCCTGGAAGTGGCCATGGGAGCCTCTTGGATCTGGTTCCTATGACTTTTGTCTTGTTGAGTATATCCCTATGTTATGGCACAAAAAGGGTGCCCAAGCCAGGTGTTGTGGTACATGCCTGTAGACCCAGCAACTACGGAGGTTGAGGCAGGAGGATGCTTGAGGTCAGGAGTTCAAGCCCAGTCTGGCCAACATAGTGAGATCCAGTCTCCAAATCAAAAAAGAAAATATAGAAAGTGCCCAAACAGCCCTGTGCTTTCCCTTCTTCAGACCTGGACTTTGCTTTTTCTGAGCAATTTATGGGGGTCTGAGCAAGAGCGAGACCCCCATCTCTAAAAATAGCCAATCATTGTGGTGGGCACCTGTAGTCCCAGCTACTTGGGAAGCTGAGGCAAGAGGATCGCTTGAAAGTATTTATACACTTCTTTTTCCTCTCACCTTTCTTCTGATCAGTCCTTTGCTAATTAAAGAGAAAAAACCCAAGATCAATGTTATGAGAGCACTGCTCTCACATGGGGCTCACTACACCCCTCCCTGCCTGCTCACCACAGCCCCTGACACACACCTTGGCCCTCCCCACTGGCTCCACTTCCCTCTCCCCTGTGCAGAACTGAAGTATGGCTGACCTCTTGGCTCACATGAACTGAGTCTCTTTTATTTTCATTTCAAGATTCTGCTTTAAAAAAAAAAAAAAAAGATTCTGCTTTAAAAGGGCTCAACAAATTCAAATATATATACCTCTGGGAAGATAAACTAATGCATTCGAAAGGCCACCTGATTAGAAGTCAGGGTGTTGAGATTTAAGAAGTCTGGTGCCCTCTCAGTGCCTCATCCTTATCTGTTCTCACCTCTTGGCTTTACTTGTGCTTCCCCAGAGTGGTTGGGGTAGCTGGGGAGGGCTGCAGACTTCCAGGAAGACACCTCACTGGGAGCCCTAGTCTGGTGTATCTAGCTGACCTGGGGAGGGATCTTCAGTGCCCTGGGGGCACCGTGACTTACTGGCTTCAGTCAGCACGTGACCCCCTAATGCTGACCTATAATATATGTTTTTACCTGCTATTTGATGCTATTAATATCTTTGCCACAGGCTGCTTGTTACTTTTGTTAAGCGTATATTTCTTTGCTTCTGTTTTACATCTTCCTGCTGGTCCTTATACTCAGTTTTTCCTTAATCTCTCAAGGAACAGATCCTTTTATTGTAAGAAATGTAGGCCACACATTTTTTTTTTTTTTTTGAGACGGAGCCTCAAGCTATCCCCCTGGGTAGAGTGCCATGGCATCACAGCTCACAGCAACCTCCAACTCCTGGGCTCAAGCAAGTCTCCTGCCTCAGCCTCCCAAGTAGCTGGGACTACAGGTGCCCGCCACAATGCCTGGCCATTTTTTGGTTGCAGCCATCATTGTTGTTTGGCGGGCCTGGGCTGGGGATTCGAACCTGCCACCTTAGGTGTATGTGGCTGGCGCCTTAGCCACTTGAGCCACAGGCACCAAGCCAGGCCACACATTTTGATATAGAGAATCAGCTGTGATCATTGAATGCCACTAAATGCACATTTATGATCTTAGTAATTATACACTGGAGGGACTTCAGCACCATTTATAGCCATAAAATACATATTCTTAGAGCCTATCCCTGATGTCTGTGACTCAACAAATCTCAGCTGTAGCCTGAGAAACCTTTTCCAAAGGCCCTGGCGATTCTGAGGTCAGCCAGCTTTGGGGGCCAGTGTTGCAGACCCCTGAAGGGGAGTGCCCTCTGCAACAGCTCCAGCAGGCAACGTCAAACCTCAGTGCTAGGATAGCTTTCATTGTGAGAAAGGACTGTCTCTTGCTGAGCTGAGTAGATGTGCGCAGCTGCATAGGTTGAGCCTAACCTGCGAACTGGGTTTATCTCCTGAGACACTCCCCCTGAGGAATTTTGCCAACCTAGTCATGTTTCCTGCTCTCATCATTGTTACACATGGGTCTGGTCCCCTCAGCATCAACAAAGGCAGGGTGGTAGTGGGTTGTGTACAGCCCCATGTTGACATGCAGCAGGGCAAGGTCAAGGAATGGAAATGACAGTGAAAAACTCACCATTCTCATGGTAATTCATACTTTATTTCTCTATTTCAGAAAAAGAAAGCTATTCTGGATGAGGTAAGCAAGGCTTATTTCATCAATTTCAAAATACCTGTTTACGTTGCAGCAAAATAACTAACGAAAAGTTGAAAGATGCACCCAACGCTCATTCTCATGAACTCAAGGAGAGCCCAGCACTGAGTGTAAAGGGTGGAGGTAATAGAGATAGCAAGTAAATACCTGGGTAGCTTCACACTTTCATCCTCTCCACAGGCCTTTCCTGACCTGTGTCAAGCAGTCTGAGGGGCACTGGGGACACAGACACAGGTGGATACACAGGTGGACAGGTTATTACAGTCAGGGTGGCAGGTAGGTGGTTTAGGGCTGAAACCACAGCACTACAGGGGCTACTGGCCCTGCATATGAAGGCAGAGAGGACCCTGCCAGGGTGACATTCAAGCTGGACATTGCAAACCAAGTAAGAATTCACTAGATGAGAAGGAAGGGACAGAGCATCCCAGGCAGAATTGGCAGGAGAGGGAATACCACGTCTGTGACAGGTGTGGGAGCGAGACTGGAATGGGAGTTAGACAGCAGGCAACTGGGGAAGAACTAATGGAATTGTGAGTGGTGCAGTTCTAAGCCATGACCCTCATTTAGTGAGGAGCTAAAAAATACAATCTTTATTCTGTTGGAGTCTTGGAGGCCTCCTGTATTCCCCTCTTCTCTAGGGCACCTCATAGGGGCAGCAATGCATCTCCATTTGGACGCCCAGTCACTAAGAATGGAGGTGATTGCCAAGCTTCCCACTCTGCCTTCCTCTATAACAGTGGATCTCAACCTTCCTAATGCCGCGATGTATTTTCATTGCTACAAAGGGATCATGACCCACAGGTTGAGAACCGCTGCTCTATAATATCAGGGCGGACCTGCTAGATTGTCTGAGGTGGGGCCTCAAGCATCTTCAGTCTTCCCTGGTGCATCTGATGTCAGCCAGGCTGAGAGCTCTGCCTCGGGATTGGGTTCCAATTCAGCCAGGCAGCCAGTCTCCAAACTCAGTACTCTTTGGTTGAGATAGCCAGTAAGCAAGTGTGGTCAGCTCACTGCAGGCTTCCATAGCAGTGCTTTTGGGTGCTTTATGTTCAAGTTATAGCAGTATGAGTACCCTCCATAGACAGGTTGCCAACTGCCCACCTGGCCCACCACACTCCCTGACAGTTTGCTGTGAAATGTGCTGAAACCTCTGAGCACTTGTTGTGTGGGGCTCCAGGGACCTGTCCTCCCAAAGTGCTCAGAACTGAAAATCTCCTGCCAGGCTGTGATGACTTTAACCAGGGTTAGAGGTGGTCATTCAGAAAAGAGAGCATCTCCTGAAATGCAAAGCAGTGACTTCAGAAGTTATGCATGCTTCTTAAGAAAATATTTAAGAAGGATAAATAATTTCCTTATGATCATTTTAGAGATACTTCTCTACCCTGTTTGATTTTAGAAGATGTATATGGAAAGTAGATAAAACAGAATAAACTATTCCCACATGGAGTAAACTGTCTCAACAAGGAAACATCACTATGTGTAAAATACAGACTAATATATCAGCAGCTCAATATGACCATATTGACAGCTGACTCATTATATTCCAAGACTCAGTTTACTGTGGCATCAGGTTTTTGTGCCTTTTTCTACCTAGAGGATTAGTTTATTTCCCACCAGAGAAGATCTGGATTGAGTGAAAGAGAGTTTCAGAGACTTATGTGATGGTGCAAATAAGAGAAGTCTTATTCTGTGTTGCTGCACAGATCCCTCTGGAATCTCCTGAGTCTTACCTGCTATCGCCCAGGAAATTCACATCTGTTTTTCTCTTCTTCCTTTCCCTGCTAGGCGGCTATGGTGCTTCAGGCAGCTTTCAAGGGACATCTGGCTCGAGTGAAGCTTTTAGCAAGCAAAGCATGTGACTCAGAGCCTCCCAGCACACCCAGCCTCCCAAATCAGGTAACCATGAGGTGGCTGGATACGGGCCTAGAGATTGTCTCTCTGTTGTTCCTTCTTTTCAACTTCACTGTCCAAGAAAGCACAGGGCACTTTTCAGCCTTCAAGTTTCCCTTGCCCGGTCAGTGTGCCTCACACTCATTTTGTGCCCACAGCCAAGCGGCTGCACCTCTGGGCAGGCCCTGGATGAATTTTACTTTAGAGACCAGATTGCTTTGAAGGGCTAAAGGATCAACATGTCTGTCTCACACTGAGGGGAGCTCCAAAACTAATGGAAGATGCTTTCCATGTCAGCCCCTCCTCGGTTAAAAAAAAAAAAAAAAAGATGTGTTTGCTTTAAGGATCTCTAGAATTTGAAACTTAAGAATGTGCAATCAGAAGGTTGCTTAGTGACCAGCAATAATGGAGGGTGGGGGTACCTGAAAAAGAAACTGTGGTCTAAGTGGCTCCCTCGTGCCAAGGGAGCCACAAGGGGCCATACTCTGGAAGCCGGCAGAGTGTTGCCAAATGGTTCTCTTCCCTTCTATCGTTAAGCCCCAGAGTTCTCCCACGCCCTGCATTCTGAGCCCCATCGCCCAGACTGAGGGCAACCCTGGACAAGAGGAGGCCATCACCGTTATCCAGTCTGTCCTCCGGGCACACCTAGCCCAGGCCAATCACAGGTGAGTGAAGTTCACAGGCACAGCTCTGTTCTGAGTCACAGGGGAATGCCAGTACACAATGTGTGGGAGGCTGCCCAACACAGTCAGCCTGCAGGGCCAGGCACGGGTGTGTAACGTGTGCTGGGCGAGCTTGAAAAATTCCACTGCAGCATAGATGTGGAGTGGGCCATGAGTGCTGGTCCTCGGGAAGAGCCTTTTCTAGTCATTTCTCCATCCTGGGAGAAAACAAATAGAAAGGTTTAGATGCCATGTAGTTCAGGTAGCCATCAGTTTGTGGAATGTCTGTTGGCTTATACTAATACACTGTTCCTTTTTAAAGAATGTGACGTGATCCCAGTGTTCAGTAAGATATAGGTATTGTCAGAGACCTTCCCACACCAACATGTGCTAGTTCTAAACAGTAACACTCCTGCTGGTGCACCCAACATATTTGTTAGGACTCTCTTGGTTGCAAATGTCAGAACTCCTTTAAGTCCACTTGGGCAAAGGCTAGAGTTTATAGTAAGATGAAGAGATGGTCTCGCAGAGTCCCAAGACAGCTGCCACCTCTCCCTGCCCAACCTCACTGCATGTTGGGCTTATCCTCTTACCACCAAGTACTGTTTCTCAACCTATATGGCAGAGGATTGTAGTACCCATCTCTTTTGACTCTGCAATTTCTCTCTGCAAGGCCGAGACTGCATCTCATGGCCTTGACTCCATATGACCTGAGATGGACCAAGGGCTCGGCTGAGTAGGGCACCCCTCCCTGGGCAGTTGGCTATGGCCAAGTCACAGTATGGCCTGTCACTGTGTCTCCTGGGAATGGAGCAGCTGGCCTTACCTAGAGATGAGGGGAAAGGAAGTATTTGTGGCCAGCTTATGAAAACCATGGAAGCCCGACCTTAGCCTATGCTCTGAGATGGACAGAGGACATGTCTCTTCACAGCCAACTGTTTCAGGACCCTGGGAAGATCTGGTGAAGGGGACTGGCCATAGCATACAGGACTGGCCTTATGTTTGCTTTTGTTGAGATAGTTCCCCCAGACTAGTTGGTAGCCCATCCATAGGCCTCAGAGAGGTCTGTTTTCTTTAAAGTAAGAATCAGCTGGGGTTTTAACTTTTTTTCCAGTACTACCAGTAAAAGAACCACCACCGCAGCTGGTGCTAAGAGGAGACCTACTTCAGCCACACACAAGGAAACCTCCTCTCCACCCATCCTTGCAGCTTCTCCTGGTAATTTCTTTCATTTTGGATTCTGACATGAGGGACAACTGGCCCTTTAAGGGTTAAGCCAAAAGAGTGGCCGCCACTTTCCAGGAAGGTTAGGGCAGTGTAAGGATGTAAGGGAGGCTTGTTTCACCTGCAGCTGCCTCTGAACTCAGTAAGGCCAGGGATACCCTAGACCACATCTCCTTGTCCCAAAGGGTCCCTTGTCCCTAGAATTTTAGAGGAGAGAGAAAAACCCCACGTACTCTGTGAGCCCGGCAGGCTGGAGACAGGTCTCCTGGCCACACCATCTGAGCTTCATGGCCTTTGTTGTCTTTATTCTTTCTCACCTCCTAGAGCTAGATGGCTTCCCTCCCTCAGACCAGTGTTTCTCCCATTTGTTTGTTTTTTAAGTAAAACTTTGTTTGTATTTTCCTTTCTGCCTCCTTAAAGTCCAGGCACTGAGAGAAGGAATCTCTGGGACTGTCAGGGTGCCAACCTTAGTTGTGAGGTCCCTACTCCCCCACATCCTATGCATGATCCGCTGGCAGATCCCTGCCTTTCTCTGGGCCTCAGTCCTTTCATGTGCAAAGTGAGGAATGGGGTGAGACAGCTGGAAGGTCATTTTTGTCCTAAAAAAAAACCCCAAAACTATGATGCTCTACATGGAGTGCAGATTCTTTTTATCTTTCGCTGCAATTAGAAAGCCATTGGCAACAGCTGCTTTCTTTGACGCTTATGCTGCTAAGGATGAGTAAAAAGGCACTGTTTTTGAGATTTGGGACTGTCATGAGATGGAAAAATGTAGTCTTGAGATTTCAGGTGTGGATATGGCATGCAGGGGTGCCATGTTATCCATCAGACCTCACATGGGTCAGTTTCAAATAGAGGACCTTTCTGTACTAAACCCTTATGTCCCAAAGATGGAGTCAGGGAATGACAGGTGAGGGGAGAGAATAGCAAGGAAGAACTATAAAAGGAAATTGTTTTTTCTGAACCAAAAAATGTTAGGAGAAAGACAGTGAGTGAAGTATTATATAAATGGCTGCTTCAATTTTCATGTCCCTTCAGGGAAGGAGGACAGCGAAGCCAGCAGTGGGGAAGCTGTGGAGGACGAGGACAGGTTAGGGGAGTCAGCAGCCCCAGGACCCTGCTCTGGTGAGTGTGGGAGCAATGGCAGGTGGAGATCTTACCTTGCCTAGGAGGGACAGAAGAGTCACAGGTTAGGGAAGAGGCCATGACCCCTAGCCTGCCTCAGACCCCACAGACAAAATGCGCTTGGGGGAACCCTTTCTGTGTTGAACATAACACTTTCCCTTCCCGGGGGGTGGGGGGGGGCACAGGGGGTTGTGTTTTAGAGAATCTCTTACTTAAGCTAAGAATTTTATGTCATATTTGACCTGGAAGTCACATTTGAAACCACATTTTATCCATTTCAGTTGTTTTTTTTTTTTTTCTAGCGTTGTCAGAGCTAGAAAACTTTGAACTTTGATAGTCTCTCCAAAACCTCCATTTATAAAGCTCAGCAAACAAAGATTTGCAGCTGTGGGATTTAAGGGGGAAATGTGGAGACCACTGAAGCCTGTAAGGCAGTCAAGCTGCCCTCTACCGCTTGGGCGCCCCAAAATCCTGATTCCTACTATTATCACCAGACCCTGCATTTGGTGACCTTTAGATTCAGAGTTACAGTGTTTATTTATGCTGCCCTTTTCACCTCTTATTTAAATGTAAGTAATTTTAAAGGGGCAGATTCATCCTCCTGCCTAAAAGTATCCCCATAGAGCACATCCAGGTATGCAGCTTTTATTGACCTAAGGAAACATGTCTATGTGAAATGTATAAATCAAACCCATATTTGAGCTGATTATATTTTTGAAGTAAAAAATGAAGATAACCATCTTCTGATATTTTTAATTTAATAAGTTTCCATGTTAATTTTTTTGAAAGTTACAGGGGAAAAAACTGACACAGTAACAATATCTGCAGCATGGTCCTGTTTTTAAAAAATCTTAACATCAGTGATTGTTACTTTTTTAACATCCTTTAAAGCAGTAGGAGTCAGACTCTTCCCTAGGAGCTGAAGGCTGCCTTTTGGGGGGGAGGGGACTGTCATTCAGTCCACAACAGCCATGTGGTGGCACCCAATCCATATTTAGTCCTTAAGTGGCATCTCATTCCCATGTAGATGTAGTTTGGGAAAGTTTAGATATATATGAAGAAAAGTAGCATCCTGGGGTAAATGGCCAGACAGTTCAAAAATTTGCAATTGTTACTGGCATTGCCTTGCTCGTCCCACCTTCCCCACCCATATAGCATGGCATCTTTGAGCTGGGCACTTAATGTAGAGGCTGGCTCTGACACACACAGGTGTCCCAGCCACCCACCCTAGCCCCATGCTCACTCACAGGGAATCCTCCAGCAGCACACACTTGAACTTCCTCACTGTTAGCAAATCTTTACCTTTTACAGGTTGTTGGGGTTTGGGGGGGGGGGTTGTTTGTTTGTTTTTTGATTTTTGGAAATGCCCAAAATATTGAGAGCATATGTGAAGACTAGGAAAAAATGAGAGTGCTTTCCGGCATGGTATGTAAGTTGATACTGAAGGTCTGGCCCACAGCTTTTACTTCTGGATGTGGCCTCCGTCTCTCCTGCTGGGGAAGGGCAAACAGTGTGAGCCTGTCCATGGCTGGTGGCCCTGAGAATGGCTCCCAGCCTGGGTGATTATATGGCTGACCTCCCCCATGTGATTTGTTTCAGCAGCGCCCTTTCTCTCTCGACCCCTGGTGCCTCCACCTGTGGATGACGTCAACTCTGATGACTCCGATGACGTGGTCATTGCCCCGCCTCTGCCCATGAGGAAGAGCTCCTCCCCCGTCTAGGCCCCCAGTCATCATCTCCACACAGCCATGGCTATTGGGAGTAGGTTAGGGTTAAAAGGACAAAGCCTGTTTTAGAGGAAAGACATAACTAAAATTGGAAAGATAATTTATCTTGTTAGGAAAAGAACAATACCTACTTAACACCTCAACATCTGCATCAGTTTTTCTCTTTTATGTTTTTGTTTGTTTAAGGAATCCTGAGTGGCTTTATCTTATTCTTTGGGGAGCACCAAGTGGTCACATCTCTCTCTCTCATCTCTGGCTGTGGTTCAGGGGAGCTTTTTCAATACCTGCAAACACATCTACCCTGAATTGGGGGGCAGCCAGGGAGCTCTGCAAAGACATATTCTCTTAAAGCGAATTACAGCCTGCCAGCAACATATGAGGAGCCAGCACCACACCAGCCTCCTCATCCTCTGCCAGCGTCTGTTCCAACCTTGGGCAAGCAGATGTGCCCTGCTGTGCCCTTTGAAAGAATGGGTCATGAGACAGGCTTCCCCATCTCTGCAACAAAATTCAGCCTTCCAAATGCTCAAGATACCCAGGTTCCCAGATGAGCTCTTGTTCCAACCCCTCCCCCTTAACAGACAGTCCTTTTCTCTGTCATCCTCAACCCCTGGAGCACAGCTAGGAAGGAGTTTGGGTGGAATTTTGTCACTGGGTAGACTCAGACTTTAAAAATTCAAGATAATAATCATAGAACATAGAATAGCATCACACTTGCCTTCGAAAAAAACCTCAGGGGAAAGATTGTCCCCAAGCAGGTGACAGGTACGTCACCCTCTGTGGGTCCCCATGGAGAGGAAGAGGAGAGAAAGGCACAGAGACCAGCTGTCACTTCAAGGGAGAACAAAGCCTCACTGTGGTGGACACTTCATTCTGTGTCTCAAAACAGTCCCCCAGATCCTTGATGTGTGGTGGCTGCCGTACAGGCCATAGGCTCCACATTGTGCGTGCTGAACCCTTCCGAAGCTGGTAGCTGGAGCTGTTTGCAGTGGAGTTCCTATTAGGAGCTCACTGTTTGGGTCTTTTGCCTGTTTGTGAGATTAGCCTTAGGCTGATGAGTAAAAGTGAAAAGCCTAGACTTGGGCAGAACTTCAGGGGTAAGTAGACTCCTGTCCAGCCCAACTCTGGTATCTAAATTTCCTCTGCAGAATCCCTGCCAGGACAGACCAGCTCTCAGCTTGAGCCACTTAGGACCTGAGAGCTCCTTCTCTCCCATGCAAGGTTGTCCATCTTAATAGAGAACTGACATCAGAAAGTTCTTCCATAGACTGAACTGATGGATTGTCCTGAGGGTGCTGCCCACCCTCAGGATTCCCCTCTTCCTCAACAGAATGCCTGATCCTCTTCCACATGGTAGGTTTCTGATGTCAACCTCAGGGGACATCAGACTGAGCTTGAGACCTGCACAGTGGTCAGAGGCAGCTGCTCCTGCATAGTGAGGCTCTGGCCAGGAGAGAGGAACTTAGCCTTGTCCGCTTGCCAAGTAGGAGGATGCAGGATTGCCCCAGCCCAGCCCTGTCATCTCTCCTTCACTCTGACATTGGGCCGTACAAAGCAGAAGGACTTCCATGGCCCTACAGTCCACTGCCTGGCCACTTTCTACTCTATACACTAGGTAGAAAAAATTTAGCCGAGGGCTTGGCTTGTTTTTTTTCTTTATTTGAACTGTAGGCTGCCAAATCAATTTCTTTTTTCTTTTTTTTTTTCCTGCTAAACTGATGGGTAACCTGACTGAATTCCTAACCTTCATTCTATCCATGTGGGTCTGTTCCCCCACACACTCCTTGTTGCCAGGCTCAAGGATACATACAGGTCTGTAGGAGCCAATCTAGCCATGAAGCACCGAGGAGGTAACAGGTTCCTGCATGTTTTAGGAGGAGTCGTTGATTCTGTCCCTCCCTCCCTCATTTTCACATCCATGTGCTCACTCTTAGGAACTAGTGGCCTAGAGTTCTCGCTATTAAGGGAAGATCAGTTTGCCATCAGGAGCATCTCTGCTTGAGTAGAGGGTGCTGGGGAAGGAGGCCCTGGAACAGACTCTGTGTGGTGTCTGGAGGGCCTTTCTGTGCACATAATGGTAGGGGCTTGGCAAGTGGGCAGAGCTGAGAACAAGGTCAAAGTCAGCCAATGCACTTGACTTCACCAAGAAAATGCCCCTGAGAATTGTAAATATATGAATTTCCTGTTTGTCCTCCTTTGGTGCAGCACTGTTGATCTATTAGCAAACATTCTGTCTTGAAGCTACCTCAGTAAATAACAATACCTCAAGCCTGTGTCTTCAACTGATATTGAATGTCTAGCGCTGATCACCAGGCCCTTTGCTGGGGCAGCCTGCATGGCTGCTGTGTAATCCCCCAACACTGCATGGTTTTTGCTGCAGTGATCCCCCAACACTGCAGGGATAGGCATGCTTGTAGGGTACCCTGGGGGACTCCACCTTCCTGTTTAGGTGCTACTCTGTAAGACAGGCCCCTTTTTCCTGTGCTTGGTCATGGAGGAGCAGGTCCCCCATACCAGGCCAGCTTGCTGGAGCCATGGGTGGGGTCTATGAAGGTAGCAAGACAAACAACCCTGTGGGAGACTGGATGAGCTGAGTTTGGAAGACAGACCTCAACTTCAGTGTTAAATGCCAAAGCAGACCCGTTAAGTGCCAAAGTATATTTCTGCACTTCTGGGTAGAGATTGAGTGGCACATGTTGCTCACGCTGCCCTGATTTTCACTGCCACATCACCTTGAATTTAAGAAGGGTAACAAAACTTTACCTGTTATTAGGGGCTCTTAGGTAGTCCAACTTTAAAAAAAAAAAAAA